CCGCGGAGGAAGGGCTGGGCCCCCCGCAGCCAGAGGAGCAATGCTGGGCTCTGCCCACCTCCGCTCACCTGGCTTGTACTTGAGGATGAGGTCCCAGATGGCCCTGCGTGCGTACGGGTCCACGCCAGCCGTGGGCTCGTCCAAGATCACGGCCCGTGACCCACCCACGAAGGCAATAGCCACCGACAGCTTCCTCTTCATGCCCCCCGAGAGGGTCTGCACCAGGGAGTGGCGTTTGTTGGAAAGCTCCAGGTCCTCAATCATCCTGGGGACAGGGGAGAAGCACCAGGGATGCTACAGGGGCCGTACCGGTGCCCAGTGCCTGCGGGAAGCATGTGACGCCTCTTCCCCACATGGTACCTGTGGCTCTTGGCCACCAGGACAGCCCAGCTGCAGCCAGGCTACAGAAGCATCTTCTGCTGGCTTCCACAGCCTGATACCCCAGGGTTTGGAAAACACTTGGTGGAGCTGCTCCAGGGAACATCTCTGCTCCCAGATCACCCACCACAGCACAGCCAGCAGGAAGGGGACCCACTCACGCAAAAGGCACAGATGGGGCAAAAGGAGCTGGGGGGGTGCCTACTTGTCCATCTCCTTGCGGATCTCCTCCTCTGCCATGCTCTTGAGCTGCGAGTAGAACCAGAGGTGCTCCTCCACCGTCAGCCTGTCGAACAGCACGTTGTGCTGGGGACACATGCCCAGGTTTTTCCGGATCTCGTCCATCTCTGTCCGGATATCGTGGCCGTAGATGGTAGCGGAGCCCGAGGTTGGAGGGAACAAGCCAGTGAGGATGGACCTTGATGGATGGAGAAAGGCAACAATATGAGGGACCTTGTATTCCTCCGTCTGGTCCCAATCCCAGCCACCACCCCCAGGAGCATCTGCTGGGCCCCAGGCAGAGCAAAGTCAGTGCAGGGCCATGCACCAGCTGCCTGTCCCCCTTCGGTGCCACCCCCACAACCACACTGCTGCCCTCTGGGCATGGCACCAGCTAGCACAGGGCCCTGCAAGGACATCACGCAGCACCTTCCCCACCCACTGCAGCTGGCCAGAAGGACACGGCCCACATCCACCCCGACCGGCACTCACATAGTGGTGGTTTTGCCCGCGCCGTTGTGCCCCAGGAAGGACACCACCTGGTTCTCGTAGAGGTTGAGGCTCAGCTTGTTCAGTGCCAGCTTCTTGTCTGTCTTGTAGACCTTCGTGAGCTTGTCGATGCAGACAACCAAGGGGAGGTGGGTCGGCTCCTCCTCGATGCCCCGTGTCTCTTCTGCTGTGAGAGCAGGATGGTGAGGAGCCAGGGGGTGGCAGGGAGGCCAGGCTTGGCGCGGGGCCTCCCCAGGGGATGAACCTCCCCGCCTCAATCTTGTAGTGGCTGTGCTGGCTCGTGGCCCCTTCCCCTCTGCTTCTCGCCAGCTTCCCCCCTTCCCACGCCACAGGCAGCAGCTCCCAGACAGGCAGCAGTGCTTGGCCCAGGATCCTGCCCCGAAAAGGGCACAGGGGACACACAGGAGTCCCTGGGCACAGCAGGACCCTGCAGCAGAGCCAGGGCCATTCTCGGGCTACCCCCTGCCAACCCTGTCTGCCCTCACCCAGCCTCCGGCTCTCCATGGCACAGGCCTGATCCTCCTCCATGATGCTGAGACGGGTGGTGCGGGACCAGGGCCAGGTCCACTCCCAGGTCTCCACTCGCCCGTTGCCCAGCCAGTAAGACTTCTGGAAGGGGAAGTACCAGGGCCGCGGCAAGCCGAACATGCCTGCAATCACAACCCCTATGGAGTCAGGGCCAACCCTGCACCCATGTCTGTGCAGAAGCCGGCCGAGGGCCAGGGCAGAGCTTGGCACAGGTACCAGCACAGGCATGAGCTTGGAGGTTTCCCCAGCTTAGGGACATCACTGCGGGGTGGGGGCTGCAAGCACCCTGGCCCCCTGGCCCATGCTGCTGGGCTGTGCAAGGAAGCAAAGTCCTTTGGGCTTTGGGTTGGGCCTCGCTCATGCTTTGGTTTTACTAGGAAAGCAAAGGAAGTGGGTGAAACTCCTCTTCAAGCAGGCGGTAAGGGGGAACAGCGCTTCAGCCACGGACACCTTGCTTTGCTACAGTTGGCCAGTGAACTGAGACACGCGACTGAAGATCTCCAAGGAACCTGATGGTGTCACCAGTGGGTCAGGGCATGTGGGCAGGTGTCCCCAACAGGACACACACAGGGGACCCTGAAGGCACATTGTGCCAAATCCCACCATGTCAGGGCTGAGCACCGCCAGGAACCAGCAGTGTCCCCAGCGAGGAGGGTCCCGTAAGATCAGCAGTGCCCTCATGCCCCACCTCCCACACGTACCCGGGTGCACGGCCTCAATGTACCACGTGAGCACCCCGTACACCACGGCATCCACAATCAGCATCATCATGGACAGCAGGAGGTTGAAGTCGTCTCCTTCCACAGGTGACTGGCTGAAGGTGTGCCACTGGATGCCCACACCGGCCACCTCATACAGTGCGAAGTACTTGGAGCCCAGCCCAAAGGCCGTGGTGGACATGAGGGACTGCGGAGAGGTGACGGGAAGGGA